ATTAATGTACATGCCATAATCAGTCCTGTCTAAGACGGCCACCTGTCTTATACGGCCACTTTTCTCATTGACAATGGGTGGCCGTCTTACACAGGTTTGACGGTATTTTTAATTTCATTTCAGGGGTTTGCATACACGCATAGTAACGCTTTAAAACGTGTGGTCTGCGTCTGGCAAGCATCATTTTCCCCCCTTCTCTATCCCGAAGCCACACTCAATGATTTGACAACATACCCACACACATGCACGACAGTCACCTTCTGTCTCAGAATAAGTCGACTAGTCGACCTACTTAGTTTATCCGCTGGCTTCAGCACAGAAGCCCCGCCCACATTTTGGTTGGTCGCTCACATTTTGGTTGGTTGCTCACATTTGCCGGTGTCGTGCCTTGAGTTTACCCCAGCCGTCTTTGTAGACGACCAAATTAATTTACTTTTGTGCTTTAACATCTTATTTTTATTTTGTTTTTGTCAATTTGATCGTCCACACCGATAAGGCTGTCGTTTTCTCACCCGCGGTGAAAATAAAAATATAATCCGGGTGAGAATAATATTCATTTTATTCTCACCCCGGATGAAAATACTATTTTAAATTGTTTATTCTTACCCGGGGTGAGAATAAAATAAATATTATTCTCACTCGGTCTGAGAATGCAATTTTCTTAGGCCTTCCTGGGTGTTGAGAACGGGTAGGCCTACATGTAGGCTAATAGGAATAGGATGAAAGAAAATAATTTGTGAATTTTAAGAGTGACTGTTCGTGACCTGCCCTAGAGCGCTGGCCGATTTTTCTAGGCTCCAGCGGGGATTGTTATGAACTGAGCACGCTACTGCTGCCCACACTTTGTAAGACAGGCAGTAATAACTTGCAGGCGTCAGTAAGTTAAATTATTTTCCATGCAAATAACAGTTTGGTGTGCTTTTTCGTGTTTTGTTGGGTTTTTTTTTTACGATGTCTTTTGGAGTCTGTTACCACAGCTTAAAAAAATTATTTAAAAAAAAACCTCTTATGATAGAACAAATGACGATGACAATGAATTAAAAGATAAAAGTAAAACTTCAGATTTTAAATTCTGTTGACTGTCAAGTCTCACCAACGGATAAGTCTATTTTCACCCCGGGTGAGAATAAAAATACGATGGACCTCTCACCGCGGGTGAGACTTGCCAGCGTTGGCTATTCTCACCAGGTGTGAAACAAGACCTGTTTTTCCTCATTTCTGAATACTATCTATCGGTGTGGATATCAAATTTACAAAAATAAAGAAAAAAATGATGTTATAGCACCTTTAAGTAAACTAATTTGTTCGTATACAAATGAAGATGCTTGGGCTATTTCACTTTTCGAATTGAGATGAACTACGTTGGTCATCATTTTGTTTTGCCCATAAGTTCTTGCAAGCCTACTCATTCTCCCTCTCTCTCCCTATCTTTTTCTCCCCCCCTCTCTCTCCCTCTCTCACTGTCCGTAGATAAAATTGCACGCTTTCAACACAAGAGCACTGAAATGTTTGTTTACACTGGTATCACGGTGAACACACACCGGATGAGAATAGCCAAAAGGCTCGCCCTCACACCGCGGGTTACAATAAAGGTGGTCCTCGCCAAATCAATGGTACATGTACAAAAAAAAACAAAACAATTTTATTGAGAACAAAATGTAGTTTTAGGGTGCCATTGAGAATTCATTTTCATACGTGTAGTCTGTAAGTGTCCATAGTGGTCACCTGTCTATAAAAGTCACTTTTGCTGTTATTTTGAATAACCGTTTTGGACATGTTCGACTGTATAGGGTATCAATTATTTCTTTCTTTTCCTTTTTTTTTTTCAGATGTTGGATGAAAATACACAACTTATTCAAACAATCAGTGACTACCAGATGAAGGGCAAAAACAACGAATGCATGCAGTAAGTGAACAATGTCAGAAGCTGATTTTGGTATTCTACTAACATTGGAAAGCCTCACATTGTTACACTTAACCCTCTCTGAATAGATTGGTACTTTTTTTTACTGGGGTGGGGGTGGGGGGTTCCAACCTATCCTATAACTCAAAATTTAACTGTAAAGGGGTGGGGGGGGGGGATTTTAATCGAGTATCTCGCTCCTTCCACTGAGACGAGGAATCCCTGTAAGTCTAAGCCGGGATTGGTTCTGGCAGTAAGGGTCCCTTGCCGCGCCTAAATGATCTAAATTGCATTGACAGGGGCGTAAATCCAATTAGTTCTTCTGTAACGATACGACGGTGCGGAGAGCTTTTAAAATTCTCAAAGTAAAATATTCTTTTTCAAAGATAATGACAACAGATGTTCGATAGGACAGAAGGAGCAAACTACACAAGAGCACCCGCCAATCACCCACTATTACAGAACATTGCCTTAAACAGGTGGTTGTGAGAGCAGGTTTGACAGAGAGTGACACATCTAAGCGTCTGTGGCTGGTGCAATGGTTAGGCTGTTCGCCACAACCCGTGAGAGACAAGAGTTCGGGTCTACAGCCAGTGAGGAATCTATTAAAGAACCTGACAAATGTGCTAAAAGGTTAATGACATAAATTGCTGCTGCCACTCCAACCTAACCAGAGGTGGCAGTAAGGAGGAGCCAAGGAAACTCAAAGGTTTCTCTTTAATTAACCCTTTTTTCCTGCTTCGCTGTTGCCGGAAACCTATCTTGAAATCGAAATTTTGCACTGCCCCCTCCCTACCCACATAACCCAGCAACAAAAATAGACTCCCCCCCCCCAATACCAACTAAAAACAAAAACAAAAAACTCAAAAACAAACAAATAAACCACACAAAAAACAACGAAGAAAAACGAAACAAAAACAAAAGCAAAAAAAAATAAAAAAAATAATAAAACGTTTAC